GTCCTTCTTTTTGTCTTGAAAAAAAAAATTCCAATCTAGTGAAACAATGTAGTAGTAATATTGTAAATTTATGACGCATGACCGTTCATCTTATCCTAGTAATAATAATAGAAGCATTTCTCTTATTGCCATTCACTTAGCTGTGTGGGGACCTTCCATTGTTATTTCTATCTCTGGTTATCGTTATTTTGTCACTTTTATTGGTTGTTATTCTTATCTTAATTGGGTTTAATTCACACTAAAAGTGAAAGTTTTCCTTATTTCAGATCTTTTCATAAAATGGTGAATACCCGTTTGATACTAAAATTAAAATTCTTTAAAGCGATCAGAGGACTTAGTACATTGTCCATCCCTATTTCAATGAGAATGGATTCTTTATCAAACCCCTTACGCAAGTACTCCTAAACAAAATGGTGTTCGAAAGCATAAAAATCACCATCCTCTTGAAGCTGTAATGTTTACTATGAATATTCCTAAATCTTTTTTATCAGACGAAGTTCTTAGTGTTACATATAGAATTAATCTTTTACCTTCAAGTGTCCTTTAGCATAAGTCACCTATTCATTTTCTCACTAGATTCGCTTCTATTATTCTGTTTTTTTCCTCCCTCCTAAAGTTTTTGGGTGTGTCTATTTCGTACTTGATTACAAATCATCTTGGGGATACTTGACCCAAAGACTTTACGGTATGTTTTCATTCGTTGTTCTATTACCTAGAAAAGGAATAAATCCTACCATTTAAATTCTCGAAAAGTGTAAGTTAACATAGATTTAACCTTTAGGGAATCGAAGTCCTTTTTCCCACTTCACAATCATCTCTTTCGGTACCACTATTGAGCAAGAGATGATATGTCAGGAACCTCTTCTTCAATTGCTTATTTAGTGGGACACTAGTAATGGGGAGTAGTAGTTTTTAAAGAAAAAAGTGATACCAGTGGTCCACCTGATGATCACTTTGACAAGGATAACTAAAGACCTATTATCCATGTAGAAAAATACTGATCATATATGAGCCACATTGTCTACTGATTTTTCAAGTAATAAGCTTCATGCTATCACCCAAGTCGTGGATAATCCAGTTGACGATCATTTTGAGCTTCTTATTGCAATCAGAAAGGGTGCTAGAGATCATACTCAATACCTTATTCCTAACTTTGTCTTTTGTGATTTCTTATTTTCATCCTATTGCGCTTTTATTTCCTCTTTGTCTTTTTTGTGTATCCATCAAGATTGAAAATAAACTCTCGTTGATACCAAGTAGAAAGAAACTATATTAGAAGAAATGAAAGTCCTGAGAAAGAATGACACATAGGAGCTAGTTTTCTTCATGTTGAAATAAAGACAGTAGAGTCCAACTAGGTGGCTCATAGTCCAACTGGGTGCTGATGGAACAGATAGCTACAAAGCTACACTTGTTGCTAACAGGGATTTACTCAAACATTTGTCATTGAGACATGCGCCAATTTAAAGTCAAATTCCATATCCACCCTAAAGACAATTACGAACCCAAAAGAGCAGGAGCAAGTTCGGGCCATCTAGTTCAACTTGTTATGGCGAGACAAGACAAGCAAAAGCTATCTTTAGGGCTAGCATTGAATGGTACACCCCCTTAGTTCAACTCTAAAAAGGGGAACAGGCGTCTGATAGAAAACTACTTTCATGTTCAATTCAGAGAGCTCTTTCACTTTTTTCATTGAGAATTCCTTGTTCCCTTTCGTGTGAATTCCACAACGGCGAACTCAACTTGTTGGGCCCTATCTATTCCATCTCTCAAGCCCCGAAGAAAACCCCCCTCCCCTTTGGACTCCATATCTCTTTTGAATCTATATATGTGGACATCTGATATCTATGAGGGTTCACCCACCCCGATTACAGCATTCCTTTCCATTGAGCCTAAAATCTCTATTTTTGCTAATACTTCACGAATTTCTATTTATGGTTCCTATGGAGCTACATTGCAACAAATCTTTCTTTTTTTGTAGCATTGAGGGGATTGAGAGGACAAGCCCTCGGCGTTTGAGAGGACTAAGCCCTCAACGATTGAGAAGACTAAGCTTTTAATGATTTAGAATAACACTTCTCCTTTATCCCCCCCCCCCCAAAAGCATAAAACATAGGAGCTCCCTCCTTATGATTCTCCTCCTACTTTCACGGCAAAACAAGCATCTTCATCTTATGAGAGAAAAATCGGTGAAACTTCACTACTGCAATCGCTAATATGGATAACGGATGGCCTGCAAGAAGATTTGAATATGCAACACAAATCATTCTTAATGCATTGAAAGAAAAGAAAGAAAACAAGTTTAGCCATGGCGGGATGAGTCGGCAGGAAGTGCGAGACGTAGCGCTGCTGCACAATGGTGATACGGGTTGCTCACCTGCTTAGCACTTCGGCCTGAACGTGGTCTTTCCACGGATAGCAACTGTTCTTTATAAAGGACCCAGAACGTACTTCTTTACCCAAAAGCTTTGACCTCACTAATCCTATTTCCTTGGTCTCCGAAGGGATTAACTAAAAAGCCTGAGGGTTGAACCAGCTATCAGTTGAAGAGTTCCCTATCAGCTACGCTACATCCCTTCAATTGGTCTACAGTGTCATTGTAGAAAATTCATGTCTTATTTTCCACATGGTTATTTCCTACATTGATACATCCAATTTATCTAACCATTTCGTCTTTTTTTTTTTGGTCTCATTTAACATGTAACATAAAATAATAGTAAAAGTAAAAAATTTAGATACATATTAAATCCGGAATAGAATCCATCAGAAAAATAAATGAGTATTTTACGAGAATGCTGGGAAGAAAGGTACGTATTTTTTTTTTGTTTTAAGAAAAGGAAAATTTTATTTACCGAGCCATTGTACATTTCAATTTGAATTAGGGATTATGTGTACGACTATAAGAGGTTTTTAACTACATATGCATCTGATCATATATGTATTACATTATGTATTATAATAAAAGAAGGAGGGTTTTCAACACAAGATCGGACATGACACAGCAAGTTGCTAGTATAATTTGCTCACACAGGAGTCTGAAAGCTTTTCAGTCAAGACCGATCAGGGCTCTGGAGAGGAAGAATCTACAACGATCACAATGCGAGCAACAAGGTAATGGTGTCCTCGGCCAAGCCGAAAGACAGATCTCATCACAGCACTTGTTTTCCCTAATCTATCTATCCTTAGAAGTAGGGTGAGCAAAACTGAAAGAGGGAATTCTCTGATTTGATAGCCTTACAACAAACAAGCATGCTTAACGCACTAGCTTTGAGTTCCGACTTAAAAGCTCTTAGAAGTTCAAAATCAAAAGACAACGTGCATCGCTCTCACACTCATCAGTAAAGTAATTTATTCGCCTTTAATAAACGAGTGTTGTGTACTAATAGACTTGATTACCGTAACAGCAAAGAAACAATGGTTCTATTTATTATCCATAAGGGCTGGAGCGCCTTTCGAACGGTATAAGTTATGACTTCGCTTCCGAAAAGAGAGATTTGACTCTGATCCACTACTAGAAGGAATTACCTCACTTGTCGCTTGCTCTTATTCCCATCAATATACCCGGAAACAAGAACTTTCTTTCTCTCATGCCCTTTACCTTAAGGCTGACAAAGAAAGAATGTTTCACTTGCCCTACTGCTTTCATTACCCGTAAAGACTCTAGAAAGTATCGGCATTAAGAAAATTCTTGGGATTAGCAGTGAAAGAAAGAGCCCGGCATTCATTTCTTCATGAATATTCATAGCTGAGTCTACTAAAAGAGAGACTAGCCTCATCGTGGTGATTAGATAGGTCTAATGGATGATAGACAATCTATTTTGGGCCACTACACCCTAATAGGTGGGAACCTTGACAGATGAAAAAGCAAGAAGCAAACAAAGGCTGAATACAAAGTAATGGCCCATAGAACTTGTGAACTTATGCCTCTAAATCTGACTGGAAGAGATAGGAATTCATAATAATGGATCTATGAGACTATACTGTGACAATAAGGTTACTATCGACATTTCTTATAATCCAATTCAATATGATAGAACAAAACATGTTGAAATTGACTCGCGCTTCATCAAAGAAAAATTGAATAAGCATTTGATTTGCATGATCTTTGTAAAATCATAAAACCAGTTGGCCGATATTTTTATTAAGGAGCTTAGTAGCAAGATTTTTCACCCCACATTTGCAAGTTGGACATTATGGATTATTCACATACCAACTTGAGGGGAAGTGTTATGTCAAGTCTTATTTTTACTTTAAGGGTAACTCTGCCTTTGTGCTCATATATAGGCTGAGGTGTACTTGTGTGACATAATAGTTTCCTGTTCTATATGCTTTCTTCTCATTCAATCATCTTTTACTCTTTGAAACCCTAAATCTTTACAATCTAACTAATATTTTTGTCTTTAGATATTTTGTGTGTCTGAGTGATTGTGTGGGTTTTCTTTCTTTCTTCTTTTTTTTTTTTCCCGCCCCTGGGGGGTGTTCCATTGTTCAACAACAAATCATTGGGTCAAACTCATACTTGGAGATCATGAGAAAGGAGCAGGACAGGGCAGAGCACCTCATTCTAATGAAGTTGGTTAGTAGGAAGAAAAAAAACTTATGTTATTAACACTATTCACTGTTTGAATATAATTCTCAATGAACAAATTCAGTTTTGATTTGGATATCGTGAACCATATTGTCCTTCATCAATCCCCCCCCCCCCCCGGGCAACACACACACACAACAAAACCATCAAACCCCACCCAAAAATAAATAAATAAAACAGAAACAAATCATTTATTTCAAGAACCCAGAGTTTATTGAAGAGAAAGGGGAAGATGAAAAATCCCTCCCAATGCTTAAAACATACTTAGAATATTTCTTAATTCTTGACAATTAAAAGCCAACTCAAATATGTTTATGCTTTTGATGGACTGATCCCAACTCTAAAACAAATTATCATTATCAAAAATGACGAAAGAAAAACCGAACTCGTAGTTTAAAGTAGTAATAAGATCCTACCTATCAACCACTAAAGAAGTAGCGCGTCCTGATGCAAAAGATGTGAGAACCTGGAATTAGAATTATCTTTCGATCATAAGCAAATCACAAACTCAGTAATCTCAAGTAAGGAACGAAAGCTGAGCATATTATGAAGTAATATATCTTCAATCTAGGTCAGAGTTACAGGATGGACAAAGGGCATACAGCATTCTTGGCCAAAAATAATGCAGGAACTTGGTATTTTTCAAACATAATCTCCGCTGCCCTGCAATATAAGTAAACAAAATTTCCATCGTAAAATATAAATACCAATTTTACACACTAAAATAGTGGAATAAGGCATTGATGACTTGAAATGATACAAGAATTCATCTGTTATCTCGCATTTTAAGGTTTTTTTTTTGGGAGTGTGGGGGTTAGCTAGATTCAAGCATTTAAATATATTAGGACCAAACAGCCAATGAAAAGCATTATAAGACTTGAGTATTCATATTCATAAAGGATATATACATGTAGATGATTGATATGTAACTTTTCATAGATCCTTCACCAAGTTCATGATGTGATTGTTTGCATAAAGAAAATTTTCCGGCATTATTTACAATCTGCTGTGCAGTTGGCACTTTGCAACATATAACAGCATATATTGCTGACAAAGATCCCATTGGAAGACCAACTTTGGAATGAAGAAACATTAAAAACAAAGCTACAGATTACAATCCATATAAGAAGCCTGAATACAGACACAGGAAATGGATATGATATGACACGGACAAGTAGGCACTGCTATTTCACAAAATGTAACATTTCTTTCAGATTGTTCAAAATGTTTCAATCTTTTTCTCTACTCCAGTTCCTTATCGGTAAGATCCGGATAAAATACATATTTCCTCGTTCCAGCTGCTGTTTAGCATCAGAGGTTGTTCCACCTCAACCATAGATCATCAACTAAAGATAGTAACCTGAACAGATATTTTTGGATTTCACCAAATTAAATCACCTCAAAAGAATTAGATTTCATTGTATAAAACCTCATGCCTAATGTTAACAGTTATTTGAAATTCCTTCCACGTGTTGTGTGAAATCTTAGTTTCATGACCACCCCGCTTTTAGAATACTTCCCAAAAAACACTTGTAAAATGAAAACCAACTGCACTTTGTTACGTTCATTATGATTATTATTGGTTGGGAACTTCTAGTAATCTCGGTTTGTGGCAAATGGCTAAAATTGAGTGGTGAAATTTCTTATAAATAATGAACATATTTCTGTCATCGCCTGATTAGAAGGCCTATATGTTTTGAAGCATTTTTCAAATTTAAGAACTCATCCAATCTGAAGCAAGTAAGAAATTGCATCAAAATTGAAACACTTCCAACAGTTAAGCAACAAACGCAAAAGGTCCCACCGATGCACAGCCAACTTATAACTTTGACAGGATTATTATGGTAAACTATAACTCTTTAATCACAACCATCATGCAGGTCAGGAAAGATAAATTTTGAAACAAATTTTATGTATTGAGAAGACAATCAGAAATTTTCTTCTAGATAATTACTGAAAAGGAAGCAATAATTCATATCAATCACCAAACATATAAACAGGATCTAACTGCCAGCTTACTTTTCTCTCTGTTGTTGAGTGTTAGATGATGGTTCTGCAAGTAGCATTGGATGCTCCTTAGGATCAACCAATAGACATTCCCTAAAAGCAATGAAAGCCAGCAATAACATGAGGCAAGGAAACAAAAAGAGAATTGACATTACACAAAATAAACAGAGTCAAAGATAAAAGGTAGTAAAAAAGAGATAAAAGACAAGGGAAAAAAATCTAATTGGTATAAAACAAGATACGCTACAAGCATCCAATTGGAACTTACAGGATAAAAAATTGCTATTTTATCCATCAACAACTGAACATGCAGCAGGAAAAGAATGGAAACATGAAATGCAATTGCTTTATCCTACTTATGCACCACACTCATCACCAACCCTCATTAACAGGGCTGATTTGTGCATTAGGCATTCTCCATGATCCACTCGAAGTATAAATGAAAAGATAAGTTCTCTTAATTGAGAAATTTCATTCATCCCATTGCATCAATCCATCTGCACTAAGAATGGCAAAGACGAGAAATAAACAACCAAAATTAAATAAATCTGATAAAGAGCAAACTAAAATTAAAAGATTCCCACAATGTGCCCGCAGAACAATAATAGCTGTTTTTCCTCCGTCATCACTGCTCTCCCACTTGACTATAACTCTACCAGCAATTCTACCAAGATCGATTTCATAAAATCTGGAGGCAGATTTAAAGCTGAAATCCAGTGATCAAAGCAAGGAAATCTTCTTAAAGATCTGGATTTTGAAGGACTATAATGATAGGATAGGATTCAGTCAATTACAGATTTCACAAAGAGAAGCTAAATCAATTGGCCGTTCTGATTTTAATTATTGCATAAAGGCTGTCATACAACATCAGCATGCACCTTACTTCACATTATCTCTTCCTCCTTTTTGAAATAACCACCACTTTTTTTCTAGCAGGGATAAGTCAGTTTTCATCAACTATCAAGTGAATTTGCCATGTGGTAGTATAAATTATGCCAAATTTAAGTCATGGAATATGACCTCTTTACTTGCAGAGGAAAAACTTCTGCATTTTGGAAGCTGAAAGATTACCAACTAAATAAAATTAAAATAATCCTATCAATATGGAGGCATCCAGCAGGAAGGATCACAGGGTTCGGTCATTAGAAACAGATTACTGGTTTCTTCATCTAAAATTTGATTACTAAATTGACTATAATTCAGGCTCCAGGGTTCAAAACCATGTCAAGATCCGAGAGGTTTCAATGTATTGGCACAGAATCAAGAAGTTTCCTAAAGCATGCAACCTGCACTTCCTTGTCCCTATCCCCAGCACAGTGAAATCAAGCTTGTTCTTTGTGGCTTTACGTCATGCTAGAGAATTCCATTGAATAAGTACACAATGGCCAAAAGTATAATTTCCAAAGACATCTCTTGCTCTGCCTCAAGGCAAGCTACTTTTAGGGCTGTTACACGATTCAAGCTACTCGGGCTCGACTCTTTTTTGGCTCACTCCTATTACAATATGATTACAGTATGAGGCGAATTTGACCATTTTCTTAAACTCATTTTTGAACCAAGCCGAGCCACCGCTTGCTTTTTAATACATTAAATACCTACCGGCTAGCACATTACACTCATGCCTTGGGTGATTCAATTTTTGTCCCTTTTTTGTCTTGGGAAGACACACACATTGACTATTCCACACCTACCCATATAATGTGTCTCACTCTTCTCCCTCTTGAATCTTGTGATTTTCTCTCTCTGTTCATCTATCTCCCTTTTTGTTTCAGATTGGCCTCCCCTCCCTCCCTCCCTCCCCCCCCCTTCTCCCCTATGCATCAAAAAACCACAAAACTCATGGGTCTTTTCACTCCTCTTTTCTCTGCCTTCTCTCTTTTTTTTTTCGTTTTTATTCTGACTGCATAATGCAACTTGCAGTTCCTCTCCCCTTCCAATTTGCTCCACGACCACTGTCTCTCAAAAACAGGCCATGGAAGTAAACAAGACCACTATCACCACCGCGACCATTGCATCTCTAATAAGCGTCACCACCACCAATTAATTTTATTGGTGATTTGTATGTATTCTTGGGGTTTTGGCTGAGAATTGAGCATTTTTCAGTTTAATTTGGAAGGTTATTAGTGAGATTTTGAATGATTTAGGGTATAATTTTTGAGAATTTTAGGAAGAAAGTTAGCTCATTTTTATCTTGAGCTAGACTCAAAAGCTCAAGAGCTTTTTTCAAGCAAAGCTTGAATGAAAATTTAGGCTCAATGGTCTAGCCCGAGTCGAATTCGAACAAGCCCCTTCACATTCATCTTGAGTTTGAGCATATACCCAAACTCAGCTCGATTAATACTACTATTTGCTTCCCACAAAAAGCGTCTCTTGCTCAGTCATGAGACAAATTCTCTTTTCTACAACATAAACATATTCCTTGGTTGAGGAAGAACCTTTCAGTTTCAATTGTTTAAGATGGTATGAACATCAATCTAAGAAGATAGCTAGCACTTTAAATTTTATCCTCACATATTTTTCATGTTCATTTATATCACAAGTTGAATCATTTTATTTTTAATTAATTTGTGGCTCGATAGAATTTTTATTTCACCTTGTTTATTTACAATAGTGTACACATATTGATTTTTTTAGGTCATGTATTTTGAGAAAATTGTCAAATTTTTTTTAAAAATAATGGGTAGAAATTAATTTCAAATTATGTAATTAAAGAAAAGAAATGAAAAATATATATATATTTGACATATTGAGATCAATTTTTAGAGTGCTCGAATTTTATGTTATCATCGTGGATTGAGACACAGGTTATGGTTTGTTTATATAAGGGATGACCTTTAAATCATCATGAAAATTGAACTTTATCATAGTGCACACGAAACTTTTTCCTAGCACCTCCATAAATGCCTTTAAGTATTTTAAAAAATTTAATCAGGACTTGTATCCTTAAGGAAACACAAAAAAAGTTCAATTTATCCACAACTCTCGGGCTAAGCAAACAGAGTCAAAGGGACAATCAAATGGAGAAAAATGTTCTCCATCTCCACAATGGAAATTAAGAGTGGGTGGCTAAAAGGAACTAATGTTGCTGTCCACTAGGCGCATGCAAAAAGACTCAATTAGGGCCAAATGCAGGTAAAAGAAATTAATGGAGTCTAAAGAGATGACATAGGAAAGGAAGTTGAGAACTCTTTGGTTCAAGAAAACTCCAAGAAATCTAATGCAGTAAGTTTTTGGAAAGCTGCAAGCTGTTTATGCAAAGAGAATAAATTCTTTACAGGCTGCCTGTAAAGAATTTATTCTCTTATGCAAAACATAAAAAAGATACTAATATGCAGCAGAACATTAAATACCGAGACCAAGGAGATTGTACAGCACAGAATAAACAATAAATACAGATAGACGATTGCTGATTGCTGATTACCGGAAGGCATGGTCCCATATGTTTTCAGCAATATCCCAGTCAACAACAATTCCATCCTTCATGGGTGACAGCACCTGATGAAAGAGAATACTCTATGACCAAAAGGAAGCAAATATATGTCCCATGGTATCTTAGGAATATATTGAACGCACTTACCTCCATATGATTCCTGCGGTATCCTAAAGCCTGAGATCCTACATATAGCTTCCGTTTTCCTTTGGATTTAGAGTCTACACCAGATCCTGAGTTCTTCTCTGGATTATCAAGGTCATCAACTTCCATTTGATCAATTGATCCAACAACCTTAACATGGATTTGTATCAGGATTAACAAGGGTAAAAATAAACATAATAGCAAACCTATTAAAAATAATGTGGAAGGAGGAGGAAGAAAAAGAAGGAGAAGAAACTAGCTAACAGAAAAAACATCATATTAGGTGGCTGTGTTAAATGTTAAAAACAAGCAAACAAATAGGTGAGAAATTAAAAACAAATTCCGGTACCATATCCATTGCAAATTCCCATAACCAGATCACTCAAGATTCCATTTGTGTAACAAAGGAAAGCGAGGGCAAGATTACAACCTACCACCACAAGATGTGAACTGTATCGTTCTAGTCACACACATGGCATTAGAGTGCGCATTATGTGCCAAAAAAAATGGGAAGACAAGAAAAGAAATTAAAGAAATAGAACCTAGACTGAATATGTTCCTAGTAACACAAGAGATATTGTAGCACCTTAATGCAGAAAATTACAGCGCCTGAAGCAGTGTATTGCGAAGAGTCTTCTAGAACTGAAAGTTGCCCTTATGGTTAAGGTTCCCAAATTCTCATAATTTTCAATTAATAGAATTGGAGCCTTTCTTATGTCACAATCCAGCCCATTACTTCCTTGGGAGCTCTCTACATAGATTTGATCTAAGATGGATCTTATTACACTATCGGCTAGGGTCTGTTCCAGTGCTTCAACCACCAAGCTTAGATATTCTCCAATGGAGCTCTAATTCGACAGCATGCAATGGAACACACCTAACAAGAGATGCATTTATCACCATGCTCAATATTTTATTTAGTCCATGGAAGGAACTTAAAAACTTTAAATTGACTAAATAGTGAACATGCCCAAGCAGATGGAAATACCAAGGATAAAAGCCTACATTCAAGTTGTACATTCCAATTAAAATTTAGAAGTCATGCCTCCCATGTATAATCGACATAAACTCACAATTCCCAATACCAGCTCATAAACGCAGGGGTAACTAAATTTTCAAACAAACAAAAAATGTAAGTGTACTACATTAAAGCAAGTCGACCCATCAGCATAAACATGGAAGTTTAGAGCTTTCAACTAAAATTTGAAGAAAAAACTCACACAACCACATCAAGGGCCCCAGATTCTGGGAAAATTCTCGAGCATTCCTGATGAGGAGCACAGTTACAAATTGAAATTCTCTGCCTTTTCTTTAGCAGATTTTATGTTGGTTTGTTAAGCTGATTTTCAGCTGGTAGTTGTCAAGTTTAAATTCATATGTTTGTTATTTCCTTAGGCAGCTGATTTTCAGCTGGTAGTTGTCAAGTTTAAATTCATATATTTGAATTTCCTTGTTTTTCTCAACCTCCCACTCTATAAAGGAGGACTTGATCAATAACATAAAGCAGAGAATGTTGAATCCAAAATTTTCTGGCTTGAAGTGCGACACTTCCTCCCTGGCGTGACACCAGAATATTGAGATCTCCATGAGTGAGACTCCACAAGACCCGCTTTCTACCTTATCCCTATATGCCCTGCATCAATTTTGGTATCAGAGCCTTAAAACGCTGCTGATAACCTTCTGCTGTTTTTTTTTTAACAATGAGTACTCGAAGCGGTCGTTCATACAACAATGGCCGAATTCAGCCCAATCAAGGAGATGAGGTGCTGAACAAAATATTCCACCAGCTTACAACTTTACATCAAAGAATGGATGCCGTATGGAAACGCATTTTCCCCATTCCTAAAAATAATGAAGATGACCATGGTGAAACGGAGAACCCCCATATTGAAGAATATATGGAAGTGCTGACACGAGAAGAAGGCAAAATACCCCGGCCAAGACAACTACCACGACCACGACAAGAACATTTTCAACCACAGTTTCATTTTCGACAACACGATTATGGCTATGACAATCCTTACTCGCAGCCATGACCAGGACAGCGTAACCCTCTCGATGAAGCTTCAAGGCAAGTTCGTATGGATGTTCTTGACTATTTAGGCAATCTTGATCCCCAAAGTTTCCAAGATTGGCTCATGTCTCTCGAAGATTATTTCGACTGGTTTAAAATATCCGGTGAACGGAAAGTGCTTTTCGTAAAGATGCAATTGAAAGTCCTGGCAAGAATTTGGTGGCATAGCGTGGAGGAAAAACTTCAACGTCTACATCAACCACCAATTACAGATTGAGCAGAGAAAGGAGAAATTTCTACCGATTGATTATGAAGAATCTCTCTTTGAAGAGCTGCTAACACATCAGCAAGGACTATCATCGGTGGAGGACTATACTGCGAGATTCCATGAATTAATTATCAGAAGTGGTGTTACAGAAACGAAGGGCCAATCTCTGGCACGCTATCGTGGTGACTTGTGCGAAGACATCAAGAAAGAATTGATTAGTGTTCGTTTGTTTCAGTCTTGAGGAAGCCTATCAACTCGCCCTTGAAGTGGAGAATCAATTGAAGTGAGCGAACACACGTCGGGTTAATTCTTTTGGCAAAAACCAACTCACTGGGATCAATAGAGGACCACCTTCCTCTTCTAAACCATTCACAAGACCTGAATCGTTGGGCGACCACAACAAAGGAGCTGATTGTGATGTAACCAAAGGCAAAAATATTCCGGAGTCCAGCAAAAGCCAACCTAACTGTTACAAGTGACGAGGAAAGGGACATTTTGTTGTAGTTTGCCCAACAAAGAATCAATGCTTTGCCTTGGTGTACAGTGAGGATGAAATTCTTGTTGCAACACTCATTGATGTTAAAACTACAGATGTCTCAGCACTAGATGCAAATGAAGAAGAAATTCAAGAAGTCAAATTAGACGTGTCCACTTTGCCTCTATGTGTGATACACAGACTTTTGGCCGACTGTAAACAGGAGGAGGAAATTGGAGAATTGTGGTTGTGCACAAACATTTTCCATACCAGAGTGGAGCATCAAAACAATGCAATGAATCTTATTATTGACAACGGCAGTGACATGAATATTGTATCTTCGGATTTGGTTGCAAAATTAAAGCTACAACCCGTGCCTCACTCTAAGCCATATTGTGTAAGCAAGATTGACGATCCTTATATTCCTGTTGACAAATGTTTGTCCTGTTACGTTTTCTTTGGGAGATACATTCAAAGAATCTGTGTGGTGTGATATATTACCAATGAAAGCATGCCACATACTCTTGGGAAGGCCATGGTTACATGACAAGCGTGTTCAATATGATGGCTTCACAAATTCATATTCCTTGAAATATGGTAATTATTCTAAAGCCAATGCAGATAACAAATTTTTACAAATTTGCATATGTGCCCCAACCTCGAGCCTTATCATTTCGCAAGTTCCAGGAAGAAAGCCATGAATGTGGACTTGTCTACATTTTATTCACATAGGCAGCAGCCTTATTACAAGATACAAAAATTCCTCACGATTTTGTCTTCATCTTGAAGGATTTTTTTGATGTAGACCCAGCGAAATTGCCAAATTCTCTTCCACCGATGCGTGACAACAACACGCAATAGACCTTATCCTAAGGTTAAATCTTCCAGCTTACGGACACAACCCAAATTAGCACGAGGAGCTGAGTCGCCAAGTCCAAGACTTACTCAGCAAAGGTTCCATCTACGAAAGCTTGAGTTCTTGCGCAATCCCTGCTTTGCTCACACCGAAGAAAGACGGCTCATGGCAAATGTGTGTTGACAGTCGTGCAATCAACAAAATCATGATCAAATATAGATTTCTCATCCCTCGCCTTGATGATATGTTGGATCTTTTACATGGGGTGAAAATATTTATCAAATAAAGATTCGAGAAGGAGATGAATGGAAGATGGCTTTTAAAATGAAGGACACCCTCTATGAATGGTTGGTTATGCCTTTCGGACTAACGCGCCTAGTACATTCATGAGGGTGTTGACGCAAATTCTTCAACCTTTCATAAAAACTAATGAATGGAAGATTTGAGTATAGACTTCATATTGGGCTCCCAAAATTTGTAAGAGGCCACGACTTAATTTTTGTTATTGTCGACATGTTCTCAAAAATGGCTCAAATGTTAAAAAACATTTGATACTTGACGGGTTGCAGGATTAATTTTGGTTGCAGGATTAATTTTGGTTGCAGGATTAATTTTAAAAGAGGTAGTGCGTCTTCATGGCTTGCCTCTAAGCATTGTATTTGACGGGTATGTAAAGTTTGTAAGTTACTTTTGAAAAACATTATGGTCAAGGCTTGGCACAAAATTGAAATTTTCAAGCGTTTTCCACCCCCAAACAGATTGGCAAAGGTAGTATATCATAGTTTGGGTAGCTTGCTACGATGTCTTGTTGGTGACCATATCAGATCATGGGATTTAATTTTGCCTTATGCGGAATTTGTATATGTGTTTTTCCACCAATCGGAGTATTGGCATGTCCCCATTTGAAGCGGTGTTGGGCACAAGACTGCAACAACCCGTTGATCTTCTTCATCTTCCTCTTAATTGTTGGACCAATGAATGTGGATTGGATTTCACGCAACACATTCAATCTGTTCAAATTGGCTACCAATACTGAACTTTACAAGCAGCAGGCAAATTTACATAGACGATTGGTTGAGTTTTGCAAAGGCGATATGGTGACGTTACGCTTGAGACCTGAACAGTTTCCAAGGAACACTTATCACAAACTTCATCTTCGACACATGTGCCCTTTTAATGTCCTGAAAAGATCCTTACATAAGTCCCATTGTAAATGTAGAAGACCTCCAGATGTACGAAGGCCATCAAGATGACTCAAGCAATCCACCCGTGCCTAAATTACCAACAAGTCATGCTCCACATGTAGAGATCGAAGTCATTTTAGAGGATGTTGTGGTGTCCACACGGTGCAGAGGTCATCAGAAATTCTTAGTAAATGGAAGAATCACCCCTTATCAGATTGTTTGTGGCTCAAGACTGAGGAAGTGCAGCGTCTAAATCCAAACCTTTATGAGATTTATCGGTCACAAAACTCGTTAGAGCCGAGTTCTTTCACAGATGGATGGAGTTGATGAGAAATACAGTTACAAATTGAAATTATCTGCCCTTTTTTTGCAAATTTTATGTTTGCTTTGTTAGGCTGATTTTCAGCCGGTAGTTGTCAAGTGAAAATTAGTATATTTGTTATTTCCTTAGGCAGCTAGTTTTCAGCAAGTAGCTATGTTATGCATTTGAATTTCCTTGTTTTTCTCAACCGCCTACTTTATAAAGGAGAACTTGATCAATAACATAAAGCAAAGAATGTTGAATCCAAAATTTTCTAGCTTGAAGTGTGACATTTCCTCTGTGGCGTGACACCAGAATATTGACAGTTTTGTGAGTGAGACTCCACCAGACCCTCTTTCTACCTTTTCCCTATGTGCCCTATATCAATTCCCTATGCGTGTGTGAGTTGACACACAAGCAAGTTGTGGACTTTTACTTCGAAGAAACAATTTTGAAAACCCAATGAGACCTACATTGGTGAAACTACCATGAAATCCCCCAAATTTTAGTACTAAAAGTATAACAGACTTACAGATGGGAACACTGCTTTGGGCGCATCTTCTCCGGCGTAACCAGCTTTGCAGGTGTGCGAACCCAAATCTATGACTATGGCCGATACCTCATCTACCAACACCACAAAAATATTCAAAATTTGTGAATTTCATAGTACACAAATACAAGTTAGTGAATGTGTGTGTGTGAGAAAGGGGGAGGGGGAAAGATGATGAAAATTACTCACCACCCCCGTACATGATTGCAAGCCCCGATTGCTAAGATTGAAAGTAGGTCTCTTTTTGGTTCTGTGTGGTGTGGTGTTTTCTGGGGCTTTAACTGGGGTTTTGAAGCGCTTTTTAGGAGGGGTTCTGGGACAACAGCTAGAGAGATCGATTTTGGGTCCACCTCGGGTCAGCTTTCTTTAGGAATGGTATCCTAAAAAACAAAAAAAAAACATAAACATAAACATAAACAAATCAACTATACACAAAGTAAGATGTTTTTAATATATTTTTCTTTAATTTCATGGGAAGATAAGTCAAAAGAGTTAGAAAATGTCATTGATTACGTTCCAACAAAGCAAACAATTTCAGTTAGAACAACAAATTACACATGTAGGCTAGAACAAAAATAAATATTAGTTAGAAAAATCATATTATACAGATATGTCCGGCAAAAATCAGATTAAAGCCGAATTTCGTTTTATCTGAATATTCGCTAAATTTTATTTTCACAACTTATATTGGAATCTATTAAAAATCAAATGCTAATTCGATAACTCAATTAAACTAAATTGTAGCAATGTACATAACAGTTTTAAGTCAATTTCATCAAATTTTTTACTTAATTTAATCATACATTTGTATATTTAAATTGATTCAAATTATAGTTGTATTTGAAGGTAGCAATTTTAACTCATTCCGCATTAACCCGTCTAACCCACCCATAAATAAATGGGTTGGGTACCTATATTAATTAATGCAGATTTCAAATGGATTGGATAATAGGATTCATTTTAATTAAGCTGGTTAATATAGATTACAAATGGGTATCCATTAGATTGAATATTTATCTTTCTATTAAATAATACAAGTGATAAAATCAAATAAATATACCAAAAAATACGCACACACTATTATATCAAAAGCGCACACACATACACCCGACCCATGACCCCACGATTCATCCGCAGCTCGCCCCGCAACCTATGTCCCAACCCATGACACAAGTAATAAAGTAAATGTGTTTGTGCTTTTTGTGTGTTAGTATATGTGTGCGTATTTTTTATGTATTAATGTGTGCATTTTTTGTGTATCAGTATTTGTTTATACTAAAAGTTTTAATTATTTTACGGGTTAATGGATTTAATCCAACCCGTTATAACTCAACCCATTATAACCCATTTATTAAGCAGATTGAAAACGAATTAAATTTGTTTTGCATTCAATCCATCTTGAACCAACCCAATTCGCTCATTTATCACCTTTAGTTGTATTAGACAATGACATATAAAGATCTGAATATGCAAATACATAATATAGTGGATTGGGTTCGAATAAATAATCAAAAAAAGCAAATCCATATCTAACTAGTTGAATTCATATTTTGATACAACTCTAAATAAAATCTGATCCACTAACAGTCCTACATATACAATCAATTTCTTTCAAATAGTACAAAATACTCCCATTGCATATTTTGGCCTTTTACTAGCAAAAATTTTGAATCTCTTTGTAGTGGGACACAATAATTGAAATCATGGTTACAGGTATAAAAATTGTCTAGTGTGTAAGATTTTCACCACCGCAAGGCATCGAAAGGGTTAAATTTATGTAATCTAACCTTTGTAAGCGAGAGAGGCTATTTACGCGATATGGAGTTTCAGGGCGAAGTTAGGATTTGTGAATAATGGCAGTAAACTATAATTCATTAATAACCTAAAATCATAACCTTAGTATTGTTCTTCACAAAATTAGTTATAAAATTATTTATAAGTGCACTTCATTAAAACAACACCAATTGGAATGTGTATTTGAAAACATTGCATGATATTTTATTCTTAATGGCATTTGAGTTTTCTTTCTCAATATATATAACCAAGTAATCGTTCATTCATTGATCTTCCATTCAGTTACATAATCAATTATACATTATGTCCGTTGCTGGAAAAATGTGTTCTTGACTCTTGCAGTTGCGATAGGAAAGATCGATGCTTGTTTTACAAGTAAATATATCAAGGGGTAAAGAACATTCTTTTTTGGCCTCAACTACCTTGTCTTCAAGACCATCAATTCCTTTCACTTGTGGAAAATCCTGTCACAGGCATTTGAGTTTTCTTTTTCAATATATATAACCAAGTAATCGTTCATTCATTGATCTTCCATTCAATTACATAATCAATTATACATTATGTCCGCTGCTGAAAAATGTGTTTTTGACTCTTGTAGTTGCGACAGGAAAGATCAATGCTAGTTTTACAAGTAAATATATCAAGGGGTAAAGAACATTCTTTTTTCACCTCAACTACCTTGTCTTCAAGACCATCAATTCCTTTCACTTGTGGAAAATCCTTGAAGTACAAATGAATTATGTAAGTCTCAAGTTTATTGTCAAGTATCATGAGCTCCATTGTAAAAAATTTTGAAAGATTAAATTGAGCAAAACGAATCAACTTCTCCTTAATTGTAGAGAATGAATTGCCTGGATTTATACATGTCACACAAAGAAGTAGCTCGGAGCTTACCTCCATAGAACGATTGTGAGGCTCGAGAAGTTGCATATTTAACATTGTATACTATAATCCAACATGATAATTGTATAGATTAGTGGATTGTTGAGCATTACATCTTGGCTGCCCTCAAGCTAAATAAAGTGTTCATATTTAAAACATTATTAATAATATCATGTTTGCCAAAAAAAAACTACAATGATTAAAGCATTCCATCCATCATCATTTTATCAGTTGTAACCATTGTCTGTTGTAACTAAGCTCATATCATTTACAATATATTGATATTTTCGCTATAGTGCTTATAATAATTGATTTTCAATTCTCAGCACACCTTCAGCAAATGTACATTAAAAGATTGGATTGAATCCAATAAGACATATGATTCAACTCTTTACTCAGAATTTGTATCATCCACTTCTACATCATCAAGCACATCATGGAGGTAAACATAACAATCAGACTAAAACTAGTGTAATTAATGAAAAAACCATCTATAACACATAATATTTTTTTTCTTAAGATTAATCAAACTAAAACTGAATAAAGTTACCTTACCAAGTTTAAATATAATATGATCAAAATTAAAATGGCTCGGTATTGTATACATGATAATAAACTTCTAATTGTACTCTTCTCAGCTTACTCCTTTGGATTTAATATAGTTTCTAAAAAATATAAAGAGGGGTGAGCTCAATAGCCCACTAGGATATTTTTTGCTCAATCACTATCGAGGTGTTCAAACAACATAGATATAAACAAATAATTAGTACATTCAACAATAGGTCACATTTAAAATCACAGGAAGGCAACACATATTGGTAATTACAATTGGTCAATATTCGGTCCGCGTATGAACCATTTTCGGAGAAAAACTTTGGAGTCTTCCACTATAAGGACCCAATACCCTTCTTGCTTTTCTGTGACCACCGATATTGAGAATTAATAGGCTACCAACAACATTTGTTAAAAAAAGAACTTAAGGACTAGTAGCAAGTCTACGGGAGGACCACGCATCCACTAACATTCTGCCATTAGTTGTGTGTGTCCCATAGTTTTAAAACCCGGTCTGGACATCAACCCGGCAAAAGAACTGGATCAATGGATCAACCGTTGTGTTATTGGCCGAACCGGTAATGTAATAAAAAAATAATAACAAATAGGCTAAAAAATCACAATAATTATGAAAATAACATCAATTATGTAAAAAAATCAAAGCTTGTCATCCCATAGCTGCTTCAAATCATTAAAATAACATTTGCAACACCATTCAAGCTAAGATCTTAAGGCCTGTCATTCCAAAGCTGCTTCAAATCTCTTTGTTATCATAGTTTCTAATAAAACCAATGCAATGATACAATTATATTTTTGTTAATCCATTATCTGGCATAGGCAAAGAAACTATACATAAGAGTACTGTTTGGGCAAGAACATGGATGAACTAATTGCCTTGAAAGTCCCTTTGGTCTAAATTACTTTTATTGTGTGCTCAGTTCTTCGGGTCAGTGGCTTCATCACCATCGCAATCAATGTGTAAAAAATCAAAGCTTCATTCAATGTATAAAATATAGCATTATCAATTATCAAAGATTCAATGTATACAAAATACATAGAGAGAGAGAGAGAGAGTGACAGTATGTACCTGTAGTTGGTGCCTGGTAGTCGTCGTCGATGCCTCGATGTCGATGGAGATCTGAAGCAGTGAAGCAGCTTTCTCCTTCGAAATCGAAAGTCCTTCCCCTTCGAGTCTTCGATCGAGTCCCTTACCGGCTGGCGTACACCCTTTCTGGCTGGCTTACTCCCTTTCGTGCTCGCAGTGCACACTATTGCAGAGACCAGAGAAAGACTGAGAGTCTGAGAGAGAGAGAGAGAGAGAGAGACTCACGCTGAGAGGAACGTCCAGTCGTCCACCACTCCACCGTCGCAAAGATGGGGGCTGGCGGCTGGGAAACAATTTAGGGCAAAATGCCGAAAAGGCCAAAATTCAGGTTTTTATCGTAAATTAAATGATCCGGCCGGTTTGCTTAAACTCGCCCGGGTTAACCGATTCACCGGGTTTACTCCGGTTTTGATGCCTAAACAATCCAATATGTGAACCGACCCACTTTAGACACCGGGTCAACCCATTGGGCTGGACCGTATTTTAAAACACTGGTTAATTCAAGTTAGATTCATTAGAAATCATAGAACATGGTTACATCAAATTCATATCAAGTCAATAGTCAAAAATTATGTTTTTACTAGAGTTAACATGTGTCTGATGGTATAATACAACGTAAACCTATATTTTTTAGAGGGATGTTGATGGTCATTAGATAAGTCCATTTAAGACCGTCGGATTGACTTATTAAAACTTGCTCTGTTTTATATTATAGATTATAGATTAAAGAATAAAATTAAAATCATTTAATATGCGAATCGGTTTCAAAGAGATGACTAGAATTCCAATCCAAAATAACATGTGTAGATTTCACGATTTATTTGTATAACCCAAATTCGACCTCATGGATAATGAAAAACTAATATTTA